CAGAACCAGTTCAGCAAACCAGCAAACTATTACAGCATAAGAAACAGGCCAAGATGGCTTCCAGAAGTTTCACATAACCTGCATGGCTGGTGGTATCCTTACCACAACCACTCAGATCACAAACTCGGCCAAACTGCAGCTGGGGGCATTTCTGGATGAAAACCTAGATTTCTTTTCAATGCAATATTTGGTGAACAAGGGAAAAAACTTGGGGAGGTGTGCATGCCTAAACCTTAGCCAGAGAGATATGGCCAAGAATGTCTTCCAGATCTTGCCATGTAGAAGTGGCTAGAATGATCCAAGGCCTTTACTCAGCCCCTCACACATGCTGGACAAGCTGAGATTGCCCTTATTTTAAGAAACTGTTCTTTACTCATTTGATCTGCTGCAGGAAGGAGAAATCTGAGTGACTAAATAGACACATCTTTGCTAAAGGCTGCTTAATTTTCCAAAGTTATATTGTTTTCTCAGATGAAGCATACAGATTTTAATTAGCCTCAAATCAACAGCAGTGTCATATACTTTGTTTATTTAAATTTAAGGAGGGACATTTTATAGACATTACATAAAAATGACCTCAGCAACCACTTAAGTACAGGAAGCTGTGCTCAAAATTTATTTCCAGGATAACCTAATCCTACCTAAAAAAACCATAAAAATTACAGTATGTGTAGACTTCCAGAAACTAAAAAATGTGGAATTAAGTCACCTTTTTAAAAAGTATTAAATACTAGTTGCATTAGGCACAGCTGGCTCTGTTAGTACACCACAGAAATGCTGCAAAAAAGAAAGGGAGATTATAATGAATGCAATGAATCATCTAAATCACTTAAATTGAGACTGGGAAATGACAGAGTTGTTTCTCCCCTTACCAGTGCTTTCCCACCACCAAACACTACATCTTGTTAGGACAAAGACTTCAAGTATTTGCTAACCATACATTAGTTCTCCATTCAACACAGAAAACAATTAACAACTTGGCTGAGAAGGTTATAACTTTCTATGGGACCAACATCACCATAAGCTATGGGAGCATCAGTATGTTTCCAATAGTTATCCATTACTATAGAGTTGAAAAAAGGAATAATGTGTTGTATAGCTACTTTCCAATCAACCACGCTTGATTTGTTCACACATTCAAAGAGTTTCAGGGATACTGAACAGATTCTGATCTTCACAATAACATAGCTCTTCAAATGTTATTTTCTCCTAAAATCACTACAACACCCCTACAATTCATTAACATTCATTGTTACGTTGACATAACTTAGAGTCAACTAAACTACAGACTTTATTCCATCAGTGGAATAAAAGTCATGTCGAGATGGTAATATGTCACCAGTTCTTGATTCTGCTTTTGCACAAGTGTCTGACAAGACAGCAGGAGCCCCACAAAGTATCAAGCATACAGTGAACACAGAACCTCTGAGAACGCAGGCACAGGATGACTTCAGATGACCCAGTGTATAAAGATGAATCAAAAATGGTCTGTTACTGATGCAGCCTTTACAGCCAGCTAACATTAGTCTTTAAGTATAACAAAGAGGACAAAGATCATGTGTAAAATATTCCATATATAGCAAAAACAGAGGAGATAAAAACCAGAATTGTTTCTAATAGAAAAAGAACAAAGAAAGGACTGAGTAGGCAGAACCGCTCCAGCATTGCCATCCGCATTCAAGTATACCCCAGATCAGACTATTTGTCCAGCCAAGTCCTCCTTCACCTTCAGTGGAGAGAGGTGTGTTTTGGCTTGCCACCCACCATATTTTGCTAATGCAACACAAATCACACATAAAGCATTTTATTTTATCACTAACTGGGTGAAAGAACAGCATGTGTACAGGTACATGTTTTCTGCTCCAGCCGTCTGAAACAATAAGGCCAATAACCACAGCACTGAGTCTGAGTAAACTCAGAGACAGAAACAGAATCAGTATAATATGTAGCATTTTCTGTCTGGGGGTATTATTTTGACTGATTGTGTATGTGAATAAGAGTCCATGACACAGAGTAGCACTGTACATCTGCATTGGCATGTATGCTTTGTTCAGATCCTTGCTAAAGCTGAGAATAAAGTAATGATGTTAGACAGCTTCCAGAAATCAACTTTTAAGAATGCCATTTTGATTCAGTGCTTTCAAAGAATTATAAACTAGATTTGAAAGTATAGTTTGTTAACCACAAAGAGAGAAGGAGCCTTTGACTGTATGTGCCCCCTTTTTTTTTTTTAACTCTCAATAGCAGAACTGACAAGTTGCCCCCGCTTTCCTGATATTTTTTATGCAAGCATTTTTCTTTTTAGTTATGTTGTTTAAAATGCAATGTTGGCAATGAGATATTGCTAGAGGCTTTGGACTGATGCCTTCTGAAGCTTCCATTTTCCCCAACTTTTACTAGCAATAAAGAATTTGTTTCTAGAAACATGTAATTTTAATTACAAAATTACCCCCAAAACATAAATGGAATTTAATTGGTTACAAAGTAATATTTTCACATAATCAAGGGATTGTTTGGGGGATTTAAGGCATAATTTATTAGTTCTGGATAAGGTGCACATTTTGATTCCTACAGGCAAATAACAAACTGATTAGTAAGTGTAATAAAGCAGTTTATTTGTCTGACAATTGGCAGTTAGAAGTGCAGTAACTTACTTGATCAATTGCCATTTTAAAGAACATTAAAGCTTCTCATAATTATGCTATCTATATGGTATGCAGATGAACAACAATACAGCATTACCCCTCTTACAGTAGTGATTTAATATGATGTTTCTGCCAGGTTTTTTACCTTTCTACATAATGCAAAAGGAAGTAATTACTTTTTGTACTGAAAGATTGAAGAATTTACTCCCTTTTAGATATGCAAAGAATTTGACTATAAGAAGAATTAAAGATGATAGCTTCTCTCAATCAAATTTTTTCTGATATTCAAAACCATGCATGTCTCTTGAAAAAGAGTCTTAGCTTTCCAGTCATTTAGTTCTTCAGAATTCTGTAGTTGTCAAGCAAAGATAGCCACCTTTCTCCGGCAGGAAGCTTTTCCAACTTGTTACATAAAAAGAAGTTCTTCTCATGTTCCTTAATTCAATTACTTTTTCAGCTAACATCAACCACCAACAGCTTTTGGAGTCCAGTTCTCTGATGACCTAGACTCACTGAATTCAATGGATCCAAGCCACAAGAGAGCAAATAAATACCACACACATTTCAGATGACATTATACAATGGAAAAGACTATGACAAATGTAGATCATGTTTTTGAGACCAAATAATACTTCAGTGATCTAGGTAAGGAAATACTTATCAGTCAGAGGTTCAGATGAACTAGATAAAGTACACTGCCTTGAAATGAAGATTCCTTTGGTCCTCTACTGTTTTACTGAAACTGTCTAACACCCAATTAAAAAGAAAGCAAGGAAAAAATATTACATTAAAATCACACAAGTTTCAAGAGAGAGTGAACAAGTAAAAAATTAAACAAAGACAAATGAGATATATCGTAACATGCAAAGACGTCTAAACACTAACACAGTTAGAAAACAGCTGTTCTCTTTTCAACTCAACATCAGTACAATTAACCCCACTCTTCTACTACTCCAAGAATCACACTTAAAGCAGATTTACAAAGGGGATCTATTTTAAAGTCTTTGGCAAAGAATCAAGTCAGAAATGCCATTTTCTGCTATATGAGAAAAGTCAAAAGCCTTGTTAAAATTCTAATGGAATTTAAGTTTTAATGACTGGAAACTTATGCTCTGTCTCACAGAAAACCATAGAGCAAAGCTTCTATTTTATTGCCATTTCTCATTAAGACATTCTACAAAAGTACAGGCCTACTAGTAAGAAACTCAATATATTTAGATTTCTAACATAAGGTTCTGAGAGACCTCACATAATATAATTTTCAAAATAAATATTTTAACAAGTCATACATTCCCCTTCTACATCATGAGCTTTCAAAAAAAAGGTTGAAGAGAGCTAAGGAAATACCACAATTCTTTGGACTCTCCATTACACTGTCAAAGTTGCATATCATCTGTCAATTAGCTTATCTTGTACCTCATTTCCTGAAAAGAGAAGCAGCAGTAGGTTTTCCTAGCTTTCTAATACCCAAACAACCTGCTGTCATTAATGACTTTTACCTCAAATCATGTCCTTAAAGTAGGGAAGCATTCTACTAGCTTATTCATGGAGCACTGAAATACAAGGTAAAGATAGCAAATTGTACAAACAAGCCTGTGGCTACATCATGATTTCTTACATCTCTATTAAGATAGTCAGTTTATCCGCCAGTTCCTCTTGTTGCTAGTGAATGCCTTTAATAACTCTACCATTCTTCTTGCACAACACAGCTCCTACCAACTCTTCCCCTTCACATATCACTTACTTTCTCAGAAATCTTGCCAGTTCCTGTGAATATTCCCAGTCCTCAGATGCAGTGATGACCAGGAGGATCTCCAACCTATGGTTGGAGGCTTCCCGCTTCCCCTTTTTCCCAGCAGTTTGCAATGCTTACAGATTCTAGAAAAATTTAGCATTAATAGAGATAGCTCTCTTGCCACTTATTCAGAATTTGCATATAAATTTGAGATGAAAACAGATGAAGTTTGCAAGTCAACCAATGCAGTATGCTTTGGCTATTATTAGTAATCATTAATTGAACTACTCTAGCATTAAGTGAGAATTCTTCACAGAAAAAAGGTAAACTATCATTATGTAATCTACCTTTCAACTAACAAATTGCTTATTAATTCAATCTCTTACTGATAAGTCTCTATGGCAATAATTATCCCCCATAGCAAATAACACCTGCGGCATTTAAAAAAATGTCTCCCTCCCCCATCTGACCTCTCCACATAACAGGGATCCTGAATTTGTTCTACTTAATCAACATAATACATTAATAGAATTGCTAGAAAAATCCTTATTTATCAATCATGATTTTACACTGTACAGTATAAAGAACATTGAAGAGTTGCATTGCTGTATAGTACATACCCCATGCTCTTTAGCAGCCATAACTACTTTTGAAAGAATATCTTCGTCAACAAATGGCCTCACAGCATCATGGATAATCACTACTTCTGGTTTCTGGAGTGGATGGTTGGAAAATCCATTCTCTGCAAATATTTTCAGTCCATTGAAAATTGAGCGGTGACGAGTTATTCCACCTTTTACTATGGTAACTCTTCTGTGGCCATATTTTTCAATGATAGACCTCATTGTTTCAATATTTTCTGGAGAGACCACCACAATAATGTCAGATATCCAACTTATCCTAGAAGAAACAGTATAAAAACAGAGAAAGTAGACACGAATGACTAAATAAAAAGTACAGATATCTCCATGAAAGAAAGAAATTCATATCAAAAGAAATGCAAGATGGCTAAATAAAGCATCTCTCAATGTACTCAAGTCCATGTTTTTTCTGTGTGTATTAACACTCCACATCTAAAGGATCTCTATCAACACATGGACATCAACCAAAGTAAACTAGAATTCTGGGAAGGAACTTGCTTACAAAAACCAGTTTGGGGGGGGGGGGG